CACATATGCAAACTGTTGTAATTCCTACACCGTTCACCTGATTTGGATGTAAATACCCTCAAATTAAAGCTGACAGTCTGCATTAAAGCACATCTTGTTCGTTTCATTTCAAATCTATTGTGGTGGTGTATAGAGCCAAAAATGTTAGAATTGTGTCAAGTGTCCCAATATTTATGGACCTGACTGTAGGTGAGTATGTAGGTTTATTTTTTTAAAATCCCATACTTCTCCTTTAAGTGCTGCAGCACATATTTTTAATAGAAGGCCATAGCTGTCGGTACAGTTCTTCAATGAACAGACATGCAGTGAAGGTGTTTAATTCCATGTGGGGACCAATAACAGGCCAGTAATCCCATGTTTGCCGTACATTTTTCTGCTGCGGTGTCCTTTAGTGATTTCAATAAAACTATTGACTAAATAAAGGATCAGCTCTGTCTCTGAATATAGCTGGGCACATATATATTTAGATGTGTACTTTTGGACAAAGAGTGGCATACAGAAGTGTTTATTCTGTGGTATGCTACTTCTTGGTAAGTGTTTCACTATGGGTACATTCTTAGTACAAGCTATTAAAGTATGCTGGTTCTGTCACAGGTGAGGCAAAAGTATTTTAAAGCTTGCCTAAAAACTGCCCAAATCATTTTTACTTTTTAAGTCTGCCCCACTATTTCCAGGCAGTCCTCAGTGGAAAAAAAAGTGGTTCTGACTCCTTTTATATAAACCCTCCATTCTTTGCAAAGATTAGCCTCTGAGCTGCATAAAAGCTGCTGGAATTGAACTAGTAAATGCAGATTTACTCTATAAGGCTGTAGAGAATTATTTACTTTGCAGTTGATTTACTAAAGGAATAAAAGCTTTTTTACCGTAAAGTGGAGCTTTAGTCAGAAAATGAAGTCCCCGCCAAATCACTTCAGGCTGGCCCCTTTTGCAGGTAAAAATAAACATCTATACTGTTTAATAATCCATTAATACACGGTCTCACCCTGATCTGCTGACAGCCTACAGATTTACTGCTGCTCAGGGGGTCTGGGCTTCATTTTACTTGCAGCCTATAGCAAGAAGAAAAGGGAACAATGCTGGAAGCTATTTACAGCACACATTTATTTTGGTAGCATAATTACTAATGTGGAATGTATGTTATTTTTTATCAAGTTGTTATGGGTAAAGATCTGCTCTAATGTATTCTATGCATTAAGGTAAAAAAAACCTTTTCAGTGCAGCTCTCCCCCAGCCCCCCCCCTTATACTTACCTGAGCCCAGTCTCATGTGCAGCGGCTCTCTCCCTCCTCATAGCTCAGCACTGCTGTCAGTCACAGCCAGTGTGGAGGGGAGCAGGAAGTGGGGCCAAGCTTGGGAGCAAGCATGCATGAGTGTGCCCCCATGGCAAGCATCTTCCTACGATGGGCTCTCGGTGGAGGGAGGAGCCAGGAGCACTGGCGAGGGATACGAAAAGAGGGGGATCAGAGCTGCTTTGTGCAAAATGATTGCACAGATCTGGTAAGCATAACATGTTATTTTAAAGAAAATAAATTCTGTTTTGCAATCACTTTAATATTACTGAATAAGGTGAAGCTGTGTTTTCTTTAAATACCCAATCGTGCTAGAAATTTATTTTTTTTTTTAAATTTCCCTTGCACATGATTGGGTATTCAAAATGAGCCCAGCTTCACCTTTTTCACTAACATTTTCTTTGTTAGGTGAACAGCCTCTACTTAAAACGGAGCTTCACCCAAAAGGGAAAGTTCTACTATAAAACCTCCTCCCTCACTCCTTGTTCACAAATGGCACTTTTTTGGGGGAAAGGGGGGGGTCAGGTACCTTGTTTTGACAGGTACCCACTCCCACCTCTGCTTGGATCGCCTGGACCCCCTCACTCCCTGCAGTCTTTCGGGACACACACATGAGGAGTGGGCTCCCGGCTGTGAAGCTGCAAGCTGCCACAGTCGGGTGCCCACAGTCAAGTTGCCACCACCGGGGATCAAAGACCTGGGACAGGTGAGTATATGTTTATCAAAAGTCGGTAGCTACCATTTTTGTAGCTGCCAACTTTTAATTGTGAGATTTAAAAAAATCTTCCAAAAATGGGTCAGACTGGCAGTTTTTCTTTAAATCCGTAAACTCCACCCCATGCTCTTCAACATGAAGACCGGAACGGCGTGATGAGATTTATTGACATTGTAACAATGAATTACTATATGGGGGATGAATTACCAAAAATGGGTCAGGGGACTATATGACAAATATATGACTTAAAGTAGATTAATTACGGAAAGGCTCAAAGCAACATTACCCCATCCTCTTTTTTGCTCCTTATGGTATCTGCATACATTTTATAAAAACAACAAAACAATGTACTGTAAATTCCTCTTCAGAATGTTTCTGCGCACTCATGTCACTGCAGCTGCAGCTCCTCTGTGGAATGTGGAGGGCCAACAATGAGGATACATTTCTTAGAACAGTGACATCACCCTCTGCTGCTGTACTGTTGGGGAGTTTGTCCATCACTTCCTCTCCCAGAGATGCAACAGGACCTGAGAGAAAATCTCCCAAAGTGAGGGGAATTCCCATGTAGACAGTTATCCACAGAACAGGCATTCCCATTGGAAGATTTCCCTCTGTGTTTTGTTTTGGGGACAACTCTAACATTTTGGATTTCCGCTCAATTTCTGTTTCAGTAACAATGGTCATTAGGACAAACTGTGGTGATTATTCCCAGTGAGTACGCAGGCAGCAATGACAAAATCAATCGTCCAAAAATAAATGCAGACTGAAAACCAGGCAATTTTTAAGATGCAGGTTTTTTTTCAATGTGTTCATTTTCATTGGTAATGCACACTTATTAGGCCCCTTTCACACAGTCGTTCCAATCAGGTCTGCCTATCCGTTTTTAAGGTAGATTTATGGACCCGGCACTCGGCTGCCCATAGAGCAGAGTGGGCTCGGTCCATGTCCGCTCTGCAGAAACTGAGCGGCCATGGAACTGTCATCTGCCTGCTCTGTTCTGATCATCAGGGGATCAATGGACCAATCCCCTGTTGAGCAAATCTGATTCCACATTGTGTGAAAGGGGTCTAAATTAGTTATAGAATTATTATAAATTTGTGAAGTTAATAGTTAAGACAGTGCTCTAGAGAATAGGTACTCTTCTGTGCTGAAGGCTAGAGTGTCAGTATTTGGGACCCAGATCCTGTCATTTTGGATTTGATTTTGGGCCCTTACCAGTCTCAAAACTTTTGTTATTGTTACAGAGCATGATTTTTTAAAATATTATGTTTCTAATATGTTATAGAACATTTTCCAATGTTTTAAAGAAATCCTGTCACAAACTTAAAAAAAAAAATCAGGAATAAGAATAGAGAAATTAAGTATTTAAAATGCTTACTTCAAGGTTTTTCCTTTCCATAAATTATTTTTTTATTCACATGCAGTATGCTCTTCAACCTGCTAAAAAAAAAAGGGACTTCTCCAGGAGTCAGTTCCTTACCACAGCCCCCTCCCTCATTGCACATTAGACTCCTCTCCTCTCTTGGGAGTATCTAATTACTCTCTGCACTAACCCAGCTCCTCTATTCCTCCCCTCGGCTTCATACATAACTATTTCTGTCGCTGTGGGGAGGAGGAAGGGGAATACTGTAGAGCAGGGGTATTGAATTAAAGTTTAAGGAGGTCCGGTCACTAAAATTTTCTTCTGGCCGAGGTCCGAATAGGGTGTGCCCACCAGTGTGCCCCCTAACATTAGGTGTCGCCATCAGAGTGCAACTTTACAACATGTATTCCCATCGCATCAGGTGTGCCCTTCAGAGTGCCCCTTTACATCAGTTGTCCCCATCAGAGTGCCCCTTTACATCAGGTATCCCCATCACATTGCCACCTTACATCAGGTATTCCCGTCAGAGTGTCCCCTTACACTCAAAGTACCTTTTTCTATCATATTTCCCTATTAGAGTACCCCTTTACATCATATTCCCCATCAGAGTGCTTCTTTCCATCACATGTGCCCATCAGAGTGCCCCTTTCCATAATATGTGCCCCTTAACATAAAATGTGCCCTTCAGAGTGCCCCTTAACATAAAATGTGCCCTTCAGAGTGCCCCTTAACATAAAATGTGCCCTTCAGAGTGGCCCTTAACATAAAATGTGCCCGTCAGAGTGCCCCTTAACATAAAATGTGCCCCTTAACATAAAATGTGCCCATCAGAGTGCCCCTTAGCATAATATAAGGGGCATGCTGAAGGGCACATTTTATGTTAAGGGACACTCTGATGGGCACATTTATATTAAGGGGCACTCTGATGGACACATGTTATGTTAAGGGGCATTCTGATGGGCACATTCAGTGTTGTGCCCATCAGAGTGCCCCTTAACATTCAGTGTGCCCCTGTAAGCACAACACCCTACCTTGAAGGCAGATAGTGAGCTGGAAGGGGCGGGGCGCACACATGATGTCATGTTGCCGTGACGACTGCCCTGCTTCGGATCTCTCATGGCGGGTTGGCGGTGCAGGCAACAGTGCTGCTGGGTACGTTCGTGGACCGCAGTCCGCCATTTAGTGACCGCTGCTGTAGAGTGTCCATTAAGTGACAGCTCTGAGTTTGCTGGGGCTACTCGCATCACAATCAAGATGGCGTTTCCCATTAGCAGTCTCAGGGGTTTTGGGATGGCTACACAAGGGAGGCTTTTACAGGTAAATAGCACCTATCAAATACCTTAAATGCACTTATAATTTTATTGGAAGATTTTTTTTGAAATGATTGGTTCTGCAACAGGGTGTACCTTTCACTATATATATTGTATAGTTTGTTTACCTGACAGGGGATTGGTGTTTGGCCCATTTGCAATAACCCACAGGTCTTGATTCACGATCTCTACCCTGTTGTTCTACAGAACATTAACAAATACACAGGTCTAGTTATGAAAATGATTAATCTATGTATTTATTTATTTATTTATGGTACTTATATAGTACTGCAAACTTACACTTTTTTCTATATTTTTTTTAGATATTTAATGACTATGAAAAGCTTCTACACTCCGAGAACTATGTGACAAAAAGACAGTCATTAAAGGTAACACTAAACGTGCAAATGTTTTGATATGGTGAATTACTGGCTTACCTGATCTAACATGATTCTCTTACCATGACCACTACCTTGACCACTTGGTAAACTACTTCACACCCCTGTGAAGTCATGGTCCCATGTGAAATAGTTTAAAAGTCTACAGAGATAACTACCCTTTGCAAATAGCTGCATTGGCAATCATGTCACTGTATTTGGAGGGTACAAATAGCACTGGACTAGTTGTTACAAATCTCTTTATTGCATTCAGCTATCCTGGCTCTGAGCATGTGCATCTGCTTCTCACTAGAAAATCAGAACAAAGCAGAGACTTCCTGTTTCTGCCTAAAGGATAAGTTCATCAGTCATAACATGTTACACCTATAGTTAGGGTGTAACATGTTATGAAAGGAACAGCCCCCGATCCCCCGTTGTGACAGCTAGTGGGGAATCTTCTCCGCCCACCTGGCCACATCTCTCATTCACGGTATTCTGTGAATGGGAAACTACAAGTCCTGACAGCCTTTGCGACTGTCAGCTTGTAGTCCTCAATTAACTACTACGGCTCTGTTGAGCACTGTGGTAGTTCATTGATGTTTGCAGTCAAAGTGTATCTGCCTGCCCGTACAAGGTACGAGCACACAGATACACTGGCAGGTCTACAGGAGTCTTGCCTGGCACCCGCGATCAGTTAATCGCAGGTCAAATGCTTTCTAGGCTCCTAGCAAAAAAAAATAAAAATGCACATTTTTTTATCTGCAAAAATATATGCATTTATTATTTCTTTTTAAAAGGTGAACTTAACATTTAATTAAATCTGCTCCATCCATAGCAGCTTATAGTGGATGGGGAGGAACTGCTTGTTTTGGATGGAAATATATGTCCAATGTAAACGTGCAAGGTTGTACATAGATTGACATTTAAGTAGGGAGATGTCCATGTCTAAGTTTATGACTCCACCTTCCCGTGTCAGTATTGTTTGGCCATATGGCGTAGTCATCCTCCTTCCTTGGTTAATTTTTAACTCCCAATCTCAAAAAATGTCCCTCTTTCCTTCTCAGCTGCCTTATTTGTTGGTCTGATGTATATACCTTTGTATCATTCAACTACCAAAACTGTTACATAGCATTAAACTGTTCATTGAACCTCCAAATTATTGCATGTGTTATGCAAATATGCCAATATAAAGGAAAGGAAGGGGTGAAAGAAGTGCTTTTGGGTTTAACCAATTATATTTTATTATATATTCATTCTTTACGGAGTGTGTAAGTGATATCACGGTAGGAGTTTGTCCTTTGCCTAGAAGGGAGCGAATCGAACCTGGCGAAGTGGAATTCGTTTCGAATTTCAGGAAAAATTTCGATTCGCATCGAATCCGAATTTTAGCAAACTTCGGGTGCACGAATCGCAATTTTCCCGACAGGAGCCGGCAGGGGGGGGGTTAAAAAGTATGTCACTGAGAGAGAGCTTCCGATATTTAATGACAGTTTTCTGACAGTTCATTTACAAGCGGTTGAAACATTTGTATCTATTTTGTTTCCATTTTAGGATGCATAGATGTATTTATTCGGGAAATAAATAGATACAATGTTTCAACCGCTGTAAATGTGAATGGAACTGTCAGAGAACTGTCAGAAATTAGCGGAGCTAGCTCTCTCTGCAGATACACTTTTTCTGTACTGGAATACTTCTTCTTTTCATTCTTCTTCTTCTCATTTCATCTTCTTCTTCTTCTTCTTTTCATTCTTCTTCTTTCCTTCTCTTGTCATTCTTCTTCTTTCTTCTTCTTTTTATTCTCTTTTCTTTCTTCTTTTCTTCTTCTTTTCATTCTTCCTTTTCATTTCTTCTTCTTCTTTTCATTCTTCTTCTTCTTTTCTATTCTTCTTTTTTCATTCTTCTTCTTCTTTTCATTCTTCTTTTTCATTCTTTCCCCCCTATTTTTCACTTCTTCTTCTTCATCTTTCTTCTTCTTTTCATTCTTCTTTTCAATCTTTTCATTCTTCTTCTTCACTTTTCATTCTTCGTTCTTTTTCATTCTTCTTCTTCTTCTTCTTTTCATTCTTCTTTTCATTTCTTCTCTTCTTTTCATTCTTCTTCTTCTTTGCATTTTTCATTCTTCTTCTTCTTTTCATTTCTTCTTCTTCTTCTTTTCATTCTTCTTTTCATTCTTTCTCTTCTTTTGCGTTTTCATTTCATTCTTTCTTCTTCTTTTCATTTTCCTTTTCATTCTTCTCATTCTTCTTTTCATTTTCTTCTTCTTCTTCTTTTCATTCTTCTTTTCATTCTTCTTCTTCTTTTCATTCTTCTTTTCATTTCTTCTTCTTTTCATTCGTGCTTTTCATTCTACTTTTTCTTCTTCATCTTTCATTTCTTCTTCTTCTTCTTCTTCAATCTTCTTTTCATTCTTCTTCTTTTCATTCTTCTTCTTATTTCTTCTTTCTTCTTCTTCATTCTTTTTCATTCTTTTCTTCTTCTTCTTCTATATTTCATTCTTCTTCTTCTTCTTCCTTCATCTTTTCATTCTTCTTCTTCTTTTTCATCTCTTCTTCTTCTATCATTCTTCTTCTTCTTCTTTTCATTCTCTTCTTTTCATTCTTTTCTTCTTCTTCTTTTCATCTCATCTTCTTCAGTCATTCTCTTCTTTTCATTCTTCTTCTTCTTCTTCAATTCTTCTTTTCATTCTTCTTTTTCATTCTTCTTCTTCTTTCTTTTCATCTTCTTCTCTTCTTCTTCTTCTTCATTTCATTCTTCTTCTTCTTCTTTTCATTCTTCTTCTTCTTTTCATTCTTCGTACTTTTCATTCTTTCTTCTTCATCTTCTTTCTTTTTCATTCTTCTTCTTCTTCTTCATTCTTCTTTTCAATCTTCTTCTTCTTTTCATCTCTTCTCCTTCTTCTTTTCATTTCTTCTTTTCTTCTTTTCATTCTTCTTTTCATTCTTCTCTTTTCATTCTTCTTTTCATTTCTCTCTCTTCGTTTCTTCTTCTTCATTCATCTTCTTCTTCTTTTTCATTCTTCTTCTTCTTTTCCATTTCATTCTTCTTCTTCTTTTTTCATTCTTCTTCTTCTTCTTTTCAGATTCTTCTTGTTCATTCATTCTTCTTCTTCTTTCATTCATTCTTCATTCTTCTTTTCATTCTTCTTCTTCTTCTTTTTCATTCATTCTTTTCATTTCTTCTTCATCCTTCTTTTCATTCTTCTTTTTCATTCTTCCTTCTTCTTTCATTTTCATTCTTCTTCTTCTTTTCATTCTTCTTTTCATTCTTCATTTTCATTTCTATCTTCTGTTGAGGGATGGAGAGATCTTTATGATTCTTCTTTTCATTCTTCTTTTCTTCTTTTCATTCTTTCTTCTTTTCATTCTTCTTTTCATTCTTCTTTCTTCTTTTCTTTCTTCTTCTTCTAGTTTTCATTCTTCTTTTCTTGCTTTCTTTTTTCATTCTGCTTTTCAGAGGAGTCTTCTTGCTTCTTCTTTTCATTCTTCTTCTTTTCATTCTTATTCTTTCTTCTTTTTATATTCTTCTTCTTCTTCTTTTCATTCTTCTAATTCATTCTCTTCTTCTCTTTTCATTCTTATCTTTTGATCATTTCATTCTTCTTATTCATTCTTCTTCATTTCATCTTCTTCTTCTTTTCTTTCTATTCATTCTTCTTCTTCTTTTCCATTTCTTCTTCTTCTCTTGTCCCATTCTTCTTTTCATTCTTCTTTTCTTCCTTCTCCGCATTCCTCTCTTTTCATTTCTTCTTCTTTTCATTTCCTTTTTTCATTCTTGCTTCTTCTTCTTCTTCCTCATTCATTCTCTTCTTCTTCTTCATTCTTCTTCTTCATTCTTCTTCTTCTTCTTCTTCATTCTTTCTTCTTAATCTTTTCATTCTTATTGCTTCTTCTTCTTTCATTCTTCTTCTTCATTCATTCTTCTTTTCATTCATCTTCTTCTTCTTTTCATTCATTCTTCTTCTTCTTCTTCAATAATATTCTTCTTCTTCTTTTCATTCTTCTTTTCCATTCTTCTTTCTTCTTCTTCATTCTTCTTTTAATTCTTCTTCTTTTCTTCTTCTTTTCATTCTTCTTCTTTCTTCTTTTCATTCTTCTTTTCATTCTTCATTCTTCTTTTCATTCTTCTTCTTTCTCCGTCTTCTTCATTCTTCTTCTTCTTCCTTCATCTTTCATCTTCTTTTTTTTCATTCTTCTTCTTCTTCTTTTCATTCTTCTTCTTCTTCTTCTTTTCATTCGTCTTTCTTCATCCTTTTTCATTCTTCTTCTTCTTTCGTCATTCTTCTTCTTCTTTTCATTCTCTTCATTCTTCTTCATTCTTCTCATTCTTCTTTTCATTCTTCTCATTCTTCTTTTCATTCTTATTCTTCTTCTTCTTCTTTCATTCTTCTCTTCTTGTTCATTCTTCTTCTTCTTTTCATTCTTCTTCTTCTTTCATTCTTCTTCTTCTTTTCATCTCTCTCTTCTTCTTCTTTTCATTCTTCTTTCTTTTCATTCTTCTTCTCTCAATTTCTTCTCTTCTTTCTTCTTCTTCTTTCTTTTCATTCTTCTTCTTCTCTTTTTCATTCTTCTTCTTTCATTTCATTCTTCTTCTTCTTCTTTTCATTCTTCTTCCTTTCTTTCTTCATTCTTCTTTCATTCTTCTTCTTCTTCTTTTCATTCTTCTTCTTCTTCTTTTTTCATTCTTCTTCTTCTTCTTCTTTCTCTCTTCTTTCTTCTTCCTTCTTTTCATTCTTCTCTTCTTCTTCATTTCTTCTTCTTCTTCTCTTTCATCTCTTCTTCTTCTTTTCATTCTTCTTCTTCTTCTTTTCATTCTTCTTTTCATTCTTCTTTTCATTCTTCTTCTTCTTCTTATTCATTCTTCTTCTTCATTCTTTTCTCATTCTTCTTTTCATTCTTCTTCTTCTTCTTCTTCTTCTTCTTCTTTCATTTCTTCTTCTTTTCATTCTTCTTCTTCTTTCATTCTTCTTCTCTTCTTCTTCTTCTTCTTCTTCTTTTCATTCTTCTTCTTCTTTT